TCTTGTGGCAACGTGGCTTAGTTTTTTTCAACAGTTCCTTCTCTGGTATGAAGTGAGCACAGGAGTCTCTAGAACAGGCCATCTTGTTGTGTTTTGTACAAGGTACAGCGTCTTCACAAATTGGACAACGGATACCAAACTCAAACTCCAAGCTTTTCATCCAAGGAAATGATTCCATCATTTCTGGTAGAGTCTCCCTCAGAAACTTCAATAGAAAGGAACATAGATAATCGTCTTGACTACCAGGAGTTTCTTCATTGACCAGGGCAACAGTAATGGTTTGGACATCAGAAATGAGAACCAAGCTGAATGCGTCATCAGCAATGTAAAATCTGAGAAAAAAACATATGTAAGAATTTTGTTTTGAGAATGATGGAGGCAAGATTTTTTTGTTTTGTTTCAATGATTACTGTAAAGATTTCTGAAAACCAAGGAAAGGTATGACCAGCTTACCTCGCAAAGTTCCTGGAGAGACTAGGTGCGGTAGAATCAGGCCATCTTGAGCTACACAACTTATGAACAGCAGCAAAAAGTCTTGGAAAAACGCCGAACGGAAGGTGCGAACTTTTGAATCGAATTACCAATGACGAAGCCATTTCATCTGTATTCATCAATTCATGGCACTCTGGAGCGTTCAACAACATAGCAGGAACCAGATATGATCCATCCTGTTGCTTGCAGATGAGGGAGAACTTTTCCATTATGGTAATTAACGATTGCACTGGAGTGCTGTCGTCCTTCCAGAGGTACTTCAGAAACGTCTCATCAACTATTCCCTGGTCTTCTAGTTTCTCCCATTCGTGTTCGTACCCTTCATGGCATTCAATTGGTAGAACAGTTATCACCTTGGCAAACATGTCAAGCAGCCATTGTGTATCGATGATGATCATATTGGTTTCGGGGAAGTAGATGATCACTTTCAAGTCATGTAGATATTCCAAAAGAGTGCGGAACTCATCCGATTCAACTTCTACTTCACATTGTAAGGCAATGGATTTGGCGTCTTCACGTGAGATGTATTTCTTCTGTTCTTCTTTAACAACATTCATGAGGCTTTTTTCAAAAAGCAACCAACGAATGGGGATATCTTCATCGAATTGAGGAAGGCTTCTCGCTTTGTTAGATATTGCTACTTTGAGATTTTGTACACCAGGGTCGTTTGGTCCTTTGCTTCCCGATATTGTGTTATCCACGATGTGTATGCCACGGACAACGTGATTTCCCGGTGAAAAGTCGTCTCTCTTTAGGTAAAGGAGAATTTTCCTTGCAATCGTTTCTGCATTCGGGGTGGAAAATTTGTCGGCATGAGTAGAGACCACAAAGACTGGAGAACCACCTTCGAGGGTTGAATTAGCTGCAACCAAAGATAACCAGAATTCCAAATGATCCATATTGGTCATAGGACAATGATCGTCGACTGTTAATTCTACTGCTCCACATTTTACCATAGGAGTCGCTTGAGCATGCAGATCGTTTTCCAAGTTATGGACAAGAAGAAAGATCCCCTTCGGGGGAAGGAACACCGGGTGCGTGACACTGTAGACTGGTTGTCCTGCAAAGTCCATGGTGTGTAAAAATAGATCATTTTCCATTTGCTTTGCAGATTCAGGGTTTTCTAAAATATTCTCGGCGCATATTGCAACTTGCTCAGGAAGCTGCTTAGGCTCGAGGACATCTTTGTGAAAGTCTTCTTGTGTTGTTTCTTCCTGTGCCACTTCAGAATCTTCATCGAAGTGCAAAACTTTCTTCTCTACTGGAAATGCTTTTGTGTCGTCGTTTTCAACTGTCTCTTCTGCTAGGGAATTTTCATTATCATGGCTGTCGTCATTATCGGATTCCATGGAATCTGTCGTCAGTAATTGTGGCGCCATTGCTCTTGCAGCACATCGATTGTAAACTGTGTTTTCGTCAGTTTCGGTTTTCTCCCACTCGCCTTCTTCCGCCCTACATAACGATCGCTGAAGCTTTGCGCCAACGGTGCTATCTTCCGAGGGATTGAATTTTTCTCCTAGCGAATGTGATAAGGTCAATAGTTCGCTTAGTTTTCATAGCGCGCGCTCACCCACAGTTTTGTTTTCAGTTAAGTTTCTTAGCGCGAGCTTTCTCGCGAATTATTTTATCACGTCTTTTGAAGAAGTTAACAGTTTTGAAGCAGTTTTCAGAAGACAAAGTACAGCCTTACAGCTCAAGTTTTAATCTTAATCAACATTCGGTTTTTATTGGGAATTGGTGCGTACAAGTTACCTTATATAATAAGTAGTTACGTTCATTGYTGTTGTTGTATTTTTCGCAAGAAAAATGTATGTTTACTCGTGTTAAGCAAGCTGAAGATTTCTTGTTTAGCTTTAGGCAACCGTTATCAATTCAGTTGGATACAAGTTAGTTTACTCCTATAGTAAATTGGTCTAGGATTTGTATAAGTTAGGTAGTGAGATTTAGCGGCAACGCTAAATGCGATCGGTACTAGTTCAGTTAGATTACATAGCGACCTGAAGTCTAGTATATACATAGGATAACTTAGAGGAGAAATCCTAGAAAGACTTGTCAGTAGAGTAAAATTAATGCTATGATTACTTGTTATAGTTCTCGCCGTTTGTTGGCCACTTATTGTACATAAATAAAAGAATCATACACAAATATTTGACGTGGTAGTCCACTTGGTCACACGAAATTAAAAGAAGAACGAATTAGACTATTGTCAAGCTAAAGACAATGCAGTTACATGAGATACATGAGATTGGGTGGCACTGGTGGTCTGGGTGGCACGGGTGGTTTAGTGGTTAAGCTGCTGGTCTCTCACCGCTGTGGTCTGGGTTCGATTCTCGGACACGGACCATATGTGAGTTTGAGTTTGTTTGATGTGTTGTTCTATCCCTTGCCACGAGGGTTTTTCTCCGGGTCCTCCGGTTTTCCTCTCTCAGTAGAAATCAACATGTGAGGTGTATTGTGTGCTAAAATACTTAATGTAGAGGTAGTGAGTGTGAGAGTACAGGGTCTGCAGTAATTGGCTCACGCTGTTGCGGTGTTCCTGCCCATACTACATACTAGGGGCAAAGCTAAATAAATTTTAGATAACATGAATGACTTACTATAAAGTGATCTGAGTAAACTTGTCTTTCCAGATCCAGATTGGCCAACCACAATAATAGGCACACGACAATTTTTGACTTTCCCACTTTTCAATGCTGTTTGATAGGCAAGATGTGCTTTTGGGCCACGTGCAAGGATTTCCGATGGTACTATACCTAAATTATTAAGATAATGTACAGTTTCAGGTATTTAGCTTCTGGAAAACGACGCTATTGTAAACCATAACCCGCCTCTGAAATACGCCGCAGAAAAAAAAATGTACTTGACATGAAGAAACTAAGGTAGAAGTCTGATATCTTTTAGGGGTATTTTTTAAAATCTCCGACGACCACCCC